CACGCTCACCGGGAGAAGGAAAGAGAATGTTCTGGAATCTGCCACATTACTTGTTAAGTGAAGTCCCTGAAAGACAGTTGTGGACTTTTCAGGTGCTGTGTACCTACTGGCCTGATACAGAGCTGCTTCCATGTTCCCTCAGCACCTGTAGTCCCCAGAGAGCCAGCAGCCTTTGTGTGTTGGTCAGAATTGTTGGTCTAGGTCAGTGATGGTGAACCTTTTGAGGTCGGTGTGTCAGCATTTTGAAAACCCTAACTTAGCACTGGTGCCGTGTCACATATAGAAATTTTTTGATATTTGCAACCATAGTAAAACAAAGATTTATATTTTTGATATTTATTTTATATATTTATAAACAAAGAAAAATCAACCAAAAAAATGAGTTCGTGTGTTACCTCTGACACATGTGTCATAGACTCGCCATCACTAGTCTAGGTAGTGGCTCACTCGTGAGCTCATACTCCATGGTCCCTGGACTGTGGCATGGGCTGGACACTCCTTGGGACTGGGCATGACAGAGAAGGCCTGTCCTGCCAGTGAATGTTCACTGCCCACTTAGTAGTGTCTTTCCTTTTTTGTTTCCTGTGTCTGCAGACTGGGGACTCCCTAGGAGATGGTGGCTCTGTGCTGGATTTCATGTCAATGAAGTCGTATTCTGACGTCTCTTTGGACATCTCCATGCTCAGCTCTCTGGGTAAGTTGTGCTGGGCACATGTCTCCCTTGTAACACTGCAGTCGGATCATCAGTCTCAGCTGAAAGGAAGTGGCCCCTAGCACTGCATTTCCACTTACTAGTAGCCTGGGGGTCACGGGGCTGGTATAATGCTGCCTGTGCTTGATTCCCGAGAGGGTGGCATAGCCTGGTGAGGTGACCATAGGTGAGTGCCCCTCTGTCCTCAGGAACACCTTCAGGTGGCTCCAGATGGGGTACGCCTGGATCTCTTTCCTGACTTCAGGCTCTGTCTTCTGGTTGCCGGGTCCTTCATTCTGTTGGTGCAGGCACCTGTTGTTAGTGCATTGGTGTGCTTGTGTGTGCCACCAGGATGTTTCCTCATGGACTGCTGGCCCCCGCCCCCGTGAAATGCCCTCTGTATCTCATATAGCATCCGAGCTTTTGAAATCTACTCTGCCATCCCAGCTTCCTGTTGACTAGTGGTATTCGTGGTACATCTTCTTCTCTCTTACTTTGGACACACCTGTGTTTTCACCTGCGAGCAACTCGCCCCCAGGGACATGTGGCAACATCTAGAGACATCTTCGCTTGTCACAATCGGGGTGTGATGCTTCTGGCATCACCTGTAAAGGCTAGAGATGCTACTAAACCTGAAGCCCACAGAATAGTCCCCTACAGAGTGACCCAGCCAGTGTCTATAGTGCCTTATGTTAAAAGTGAATTTCATCAAACCTTTTTAAGAGCGTAAAGTCAAGTCTTGCTTTGTCATCCATTCTGACAGTCTCTGCCTTTTGGTTGGAATGTGTTTACACCATTTGTGTTTGAAGCAATTGTCAGTATGATTGGATTCATGCCATCTTGCTGAGCTTTTTTTTTCTTCATTTTTCCAGTATTTGGGGGTCCCCAAGACTACCCCCAGGTTCGGTGATTCCTAGGACTTAGTATATAGTTGTCCTCACAGTTGTGGTGTATTACAGTGAGAGGACACCAAGCAGGCTCCCCAAAGGAAGAAGGGGTGCATCTGGAGACCAGTCACAGCTTCCAGAGCCCCATCCCCGTGTGTCTTACGGGATGTGCCCAACCCCCAACTGTGATTGCGACAGCGCAGCACCTATGCATGGCACGCCCCAAATTCCGGGCTCCCAGAAGGAAAGCAGGTGTTCAGCATCAATCATGCCTTTGCGCAAAGGCTTAGCCTCAGGGAGCCCTCCTGAAATCCTTACTCAGTAAGGCATCAGTCTGGAGCTGCTGTGATAGCACT